ACAACCCTCGGCTTACAATCACGACGGAGTCTGGAATTATGGTTGTACGTTGTAGTTAAATGGGTCACCGTGTGGCTGTGCCCGATTTTGGGAAATTTTTTTGTGGCGGTTAAGCAAATCCGTTTGATCCAATGGGTGGGGTGTTTTTTTGCCAGAAAGTAAAGGTCCAAAATGGTCCAAAGTCACCAAAAAAAATTATGGTTTACGTATCCATAGAATGCGAGAATTGGCTGTCAATGCGAGGCAGTTGCCAAGCGGCCAAAATACAGTCACATGTCTGGGAAGTCACATATTGGAACTGTAAATCGAGTCGTAAGTACCTTTTGTGGGGCCCGTCATAACAGATAATCAGAGTTGGAAGGGACCTTATAGGTCATCTAGTCCAACCCCCCCTGCCCATAAATTCAAGTGATCGTTAAGCGTCAATTCATTAAGCAACGCACTGTGTTCCGTTGACTTTTCCCTTTTTATTTTTAAATGCCATTGTAAACTTACTCAGACTCAAGGTTCAATTCGAAAAAGAGCACCTGCTGACACCTTTTTTTTCCTCAGACAGTATGTTTTATTTATTCGTTTTCAAAGCGGGGGGTACGTACGTCCCTCTCCTCAAGTTGAATTCACACCAAAATTCTGCATTCCCATGAAACGGACACATTATTTTTTTAAGACTAGAATAGATGTTGACTTGAAACGCTTCTTTGCATCCTATTCTGGGAAATTTCCCCCATCTTTTCACCGGGAAGCAACGATATAATGGGTCTCATCGGGACTGCGGTAGGAAGGGGGACGTTTAATACATCGAAGAACTAGCAGCTACAAAACTTAGAAGACTTGAATATGTATTTGTGTGCGTGTGTTTGTGCGTGCGGTTGCTCTTTTTTTTTTATAAGAGAAATGGTGTCAGTTAAATGGGCAGCTTCCTTCTAGTTTCTGTGCTGCTTATAACAATGCACTGCTTTAATTCCACGGGGGCTACTAAGTGGTGGCTACGTGGGAAAAAAACCACTCCATTATTTCCGTGCCTTGTCTTAGTTCCTTTTAGATTTCAGGTCTATTCCATCTTGTTCAAACCTAGCCAGCCTCTTTTTCTTTTATTTTTTTTTAAGCAATTTAATCCTAGTTAGAGTCATCCAGGCTAGATG